GGATTTCAGCATCTCTGTTGTGTACATTTCTAAGCAGCACTGCAGCTGAATGTAAAGCCGGCAGATTTCTGGATGGATCTCGCCATCTTCTGGGCTGCAACACAATGAAAGAGAAAAGCTGTGAACATGCTCAAAATTTCACTTGTCAGCAATTTGACCCTTACAAGGAGGGGAAAGTACTCAATGAACATTCCTTAAAACCTGAGACTAAAATATGAAAATTCTTGCTTTCAAACCAATGACCAATGTCCTATTTCTTACATAAGTGTCCTAGCTAGCAGCTCATAAGCTTTTCTTTTCCTTCTGCAGCAGACTTCTTCTGGGAGCTTAAAATCATAAATGTTTTAAGTAATTGAAAATATCAGACATTCTCAATTTAATAGTTGGAACAAATTTCCAAAATATATTTAAACCAGAAGAATCTCCCAGCCTGCAAGAACAAATGAAAAACTCTTAGTTTTAGAGGAACTAACAAAGCGTTCTTAAATATTAAGAACCTTTAACATAATAGGATTAGAAAGTCAAGACACAAATTATTTTTATCAAGGTTTTTTTGGTCTCAGTCTAAAGGATATTGTTTTACTGTTTGTTATGATTAATTTATGAAGGGCCAAATGTTTTTAATGAAAAAATACTATGAAAAAAGAAAAGTAATAAAATTCTACTAATTATGCTTAAGAGTCTAAAGCTAAAAAAAACACTGGACCATGCTCTAAAATTTATTCTAATGTCTTTGATCCTTTCTCTACTAAGTATGACAAAACATATAAATGTGAATATGTTGAAACACAGAATGATCACTTTTATTTTTTGATTAAGGATAGAGAAATTAGTTGTTGATAAAGCAATGCTCTTTCATATGCAACTAAAGTAGCATAATATGACTAAAGCAAACTAAATAAATGGATAAAGATGTATTAGAAATGGAAGAATGTCTAAGAGTGAACTCTGCCAAGTGTCTTAATGTTCTAGCCTTCCTTTTAACCCCCTTCATTTACAATGCAATGAAATCTGATTCAATAATGCAGCATTTGGACTTGATTCCTTTTTGAAGTGGGTCAGTGGCAAAATGTCAAGGGTAATTAACTATCAGAAATAAAAAACGATGGTGGCTTCATTTTTATTTAAGTTCTGGAATCAAAATAAAAAGAACTGCATTTACATGGCACTTTATAATGAGAATTAGTTTTTCAGTTTTGATATTTATTTAGTAGCTGAGTGAGAGTTTATCTAACCATATGGCTTATATAATACAGGAAAGGGCAAACTTCTTTGCCTCAGTATCAGTGATGTCAGCAGTCATCTTATGTCTTTGCTGTGTAAGATAGAACAAAGTGCTTCCAAAGAGGTAACATGCAATATCTGAGTTTATCTGAAAATTAAAAGACTATGATATGAAACTTTCTTATCTGTGTATCACAGATCTAACTCTAGGCCAACATTGGAAGCAGTCATAGTGCTTGGCTTAAGTCCCAGGTTCCCTTTCAGACTTTCCTCCTACAAGTGACTTCCACCTCCAAACTGTCCTCCTACTACTTTGGGGCACCCCACACAACCTCTCATTATTTCATGTTATCTTCAGCCTTTTGAAATGACTCTGACATACAGCCCCATTCCCTCACGACCCTGCATTCATGGTTTATGAAATAAAAAGTGATCCTGGTATATTACTTGTTAATACATTCATTGATTTTGGTATAAAAATCTGAAGATAATGTCATTAACCAAAGGCAAACTAGAGGGGAAAATATTTTAAGGCAAGCAAATCTCTTCTGTTCCTATTCATCATCCCAATTGCAGCTGCCTATTTTCACCTACGCATAGCATTGGCCCTGGCAGCTCATATGGAGATATAGGGAAAAATAAAAGTGCTATAAAAAGTCTAGTGTATGTATTGTACATTTGATGAGTGGAATAATCAGCTGGTAGCTAAGTACAGTATCCTTCCAAGCCATGAAACATTATTTTCAGAAGTAAAAAATATGTACTATGGCTTAGTTCCTAAAATATGCAAACTTCATAGGGAGATGGCATTTTATGTAATCTAAACAAATGGCTATCTTATTAACTTATATCTTAAAAGCCAGTATATATTGTTTATTATTTTATAGCTAGAATGAGAGAAAGAAAGCAATGCATCAAATGTCTCTGAACAAGGCAAATCAGAACAGAGATTAAAATGTCTAAATCAAGACATTCCCTTGGGTGCCATCTCCCTAATGCCTCTATAACCCACAGAGAGTCTAGAAACTGTGGAGTAACTACTCCTTTTATAAATGTTATGGGATGGAATTGAAAAGATAAAACCAGAAATACAATCTGCCCCTCCCAAATTAATTGGTGCTAAAGTTGCCACTCCTTAGAAGGAAGATATGGCAATCTACTTCCATAGTGATACTGCCTTGGAAACCCAAGGAGGGGTCGCTGTGATTCGGGTCTGACTCGACGGCACATAACAACATGAACAAAGTTGTTTTATAAATTTTCTAGTTAAAAAATCTATGTGCACATCTTATCCTTCAATATCTTGGAAAACGGAGGTATAGAGAAAGAACGGAAGTAGTTAAAGTGCAGTGGAAAAATTCAAATATCCTTTATGTTAATGTTTCAAGATTTCACTCATCAGTCATTTGTCTTACCTCACAGGGAGGAAAGTACTCAATGACGATTCTTTAAAGCCTTGAGTCTAAACTACATGATTTCTTGCTTTCAAACTAGGTTACATTAACCTCAGAACTTGTACAACTTAATTTTCCCATTTTAGAGCTCTAAGATTTACTAATCATTGCTGATGTCCAATGGATCTTGGCTGAAAGCAAAGAATACCAGAAGGATGTTTACTTATGTTTTATTGTCTATGCAAAAGTATTCGATTGTGTGGATCATAACAAATTATGGATAACATTGAGAAGAATGGGAATTCCAGAACACTTAATTATACTCACGAGGAACGTGTACACAGACCAGGAGGCTGTTGTTCAAACAGAACAAGTGGATACTGCATGGTTTAAAATCAGGAAGGGAGTGTGTCAGGGTTTTGTCCTTTCACTATGCTTATTCAATCTGTATTCTGAGAAAATAATGCGAGAAGCTGTACTATATAAAGAAGGTGGCATCAGGTTTGGAGGAAGACTTATTAACAACCTGTGATATTCAGAAGACACAACCTTGCTTGCTGAAAATGAGGATGACTTGAAGCACTTTACTGGTAAAGATTAAAGCATACAATTTGCAGTATGGATTACATCTCAACATAAAGAAAATGAAAATCCTCACAACTGGACCAATAAGCAGCATCACAGTAAATGGAGAAAAGATTGAAGTTGTCAAATATTTCATATTACTTGGTTCCACAATCAACACCAATGGAAGCAGCAGTCAAGAAATCAGACATTGTATTGCACTGGGCAAATCTGCTGCAAAAGACCTCTTTCAAGTGCTGAAGAGCAAAGATGTCTCTTTGAAGACTAAGGTGTGCCTAATCCAAGTCAAGGTATTTTCAATTGCTTCATATGCATGTGAGAACTGGACAATGAATAAGGAAAAGGGAAGAAGAGTTGATGCTTTTGAATTGTGTTGTTGGTGAAGAATATTGAAAGTACCTGTGGTAGTTCAGTTTGTATGTCAACTTGGCTGGGCTTTGTTGAGTGGCTGGGCAGCTGGTGGTAGTTATTCCACATGATGAGACTGGCAATCAACTCCAGTGGGATCTACCACAAGCAGACAAGTGGCTGTCTTTGGGATGTGGTCTGCTTCCTGTATATAAGGAGAAGCCTTGGGGATAGTCTCTAGCTTATGGCACCTTGAACCCTGCATGTAGCCATGTCATTATTTAGTAACCTGCTATGCTCTGCCGACCTTGGGACTTACAATGGACTTGGATTGATGGCCTGCCATGTGATTTGGTAATATCGGGATTGTGCCTTTTTACTTGTCAACCTTGGGTTTGGCAGCCTCAGCAGCCAGCAGCTGTCTGAGTGAAGAAAAGCCTCTAACTTTAGTGGCCTGGGAGCTGGAGGCAGAGCTGAAGCCCAAGGCTGAGGGGCTTTCACTCAGCCCCTAGAGCCTGGCACTTTGAACTTGGACTTAAAGCCTCCAAATTGTAAGAGAATAAGCTGTTTGTTAAGGCCATTCCATCTGTGGTATATTGTTGTCAGAGTGGCACTAGGTAACCAGAACAGTACCATCGACTTCTAAAAAAACTAACAAATCTGTCCTAGAAGAAGTGCAGCAGCAATACTCCTTAGAAGTGAGAATGGGCAGACTTTGGCTCACCTACTTTGGCCATGTTGTAAGAAGGGTCCACTCCTTGGAGAAGGATTTCATGCTCAGTAAAGTGGAGGGTCAACAAAAAAGAGGAAGACTCTCAATGAGATGGATTGACACAGTAGCTACACGATGGGCTCAAGTACAGCAGGGATGGTGAGGTTGGCACAGGACTGGGCAGTGTTTCATTTTGTTGTACAGATGGTCGCTATGAATCAGAGCCAACTCCATGGCTCCTAACAACAGCAACTCATTCTTAAAAGTTCATCTTAAAGAAAGACAAACTGCCAAATGGGTTCAATATCCCTTATGCTATAAGCAATGAACCAAACCAAACCAAACTTGCTGCTGTCAAGTTGGATCCTACTCATAGCAACCTCTCCTTGGGTTTCTGAGGCAGTATCACTACGGAAGTAGGTTGTCCAACCTTCCTTCCAAGGAGTGGCTTATGGGTTTGAACCACCAGCCTTCTGGTTAGCAGTCAAGTGAAATGCATTTTTGAGAATCATCAAATGCATCTAGGTTATTTTGCACCACATGAGTGAGAATCAGAGCATGGATAATGGAGGAGAAGTCAAGAAAACAGCAATTAAAAGGCTTGAAACTTCCTGGGGCTAAATTACAAGGCCTAAGGAGCCACTTACATTAAAAATCATTTTAGACCTATGAACTTCCTTCAGGTACTGGAAGCAACTTAACTTGGAGGTAACTTTAGCTAATATTACTTAGGCTTAGTCTAAAAAGATTCATTCATATTAATCAATGTTTGTTTAGGTTTATGAGACTCCCCTTGAGGGATGCTCGTTTAATTCAAAGAAATCTTAGGAC